TATTGCAAAAAAATCTATCATTTTTATTAGTATAAAGTAAAAAATAAAAAGTAATAAATATTAGCTTGTATAAATATGAATATTATAAAAAAAGATTGATATTTGTGTGAAAATTAGTAGTAGAAGTCATCGTTGTAGTCAGACGGGCATCTCCACTTCAATTATGAATGAGCGCGACGCGCGAAGCCGGTGAAACAGTGAGATACACGTGGTGATGTTGCGTTCCCATGTCTGACATATGAGCGGTAACTGTCGATGTCACATAGCTTCTTTAATTCGTAGATGAACCAGAGGATGTTGATATGCAGTCAATAAATTATCTCCAGTTGACACTGGCGATACTCAAGCCGCATGTCGTTAAATCTCCGTTCGTTCTTCAGGTATGATTCTAACCTCACTTTCACTGACTGGGAATACAGGTTAAGCTCCGAAGGCTAACTGAAGGAATACAATCCTGCGAGTAACGTCGAGGGAATGAGATTTGGAAAATCTAATGACTGAAGTTCGCACTGATTTTTCAGAAAATTCGCGATTTAATAATTGACAATAATTTCAAAATTGTCAGATCGCGCAGGACGACGATATCTCGCGAGGAGGCCGAATTGTTTTACAAGGAGCATAAGGACAAATTTTTCTACAATCGCCTCTTGACTTTCATGTGCAGCGGTCCATCTGACATTTACATTCTAACGCGTCACGACGCTATCGCGAAGTGGCGTCGGATGATGGGCCCCACAAAAGTCTATCAAGCACAATATAATGCACAAGATACTATCAGAGGAATGTTTGGCCTCTCGGATACTAGAAATGCCACGCACGGATCTGGTAAATCAGTCATAATATCACACATTCCAATGGAATGCAAAACTTTATATTGATAAAAAAAGAGGCATTAAATGTTATTCACTCTAGATTCGACTGAATCCGCAAAAAGAGAAATAATGATATTCTTTAAAGACTTTAACATAAACAAGTGGTATAACAATGAGGAGACATTTTATAACTTGGGAAGATTACATTTCGATCCAATATCCTTTGTGCACACCATTGACAAGACTTGAATAACACACAAAATAATGATGTACAACATTAACATATTAAATAAAATATTTATTATATTTTTAATAAGTGAGAGATATATTCCTATCTATACAATTGCTAGCAAAATTCAAACTGTGCTTGTATGAAAATAGTTCAATGTATTTTTCTTTGGGTTTGTAGAATTTTTTTAATGCTAGACGTCAATTGATCGAGCTAATCAATCTTTCTTGTATATATATATATACATACATACATACATACATACATATATATATATATAAACACACATACACATGCATATATGTGTAAAATTGACTAGTTATATGAGAAATATATATAACTAATTCTCCATTTTGCCACAAAATACGATGACATCGGATTCTCAAATAATATACAATATTTTTGATTAAGATATGGACGGATACTCAACATTTCTATACATACACATTGTATTTTAATTGAAACAACGCGATTATGCATTTATCTTGACGTAAACTTTTGGACGCGAAAATACTTTGATCCCTTCTTCCAGTTTATTCAATTGCTTCTCTATTTCAATCTTGCGTCTTTGTGCTCTAAGAGTATCCGTTTTTATAGGCATCATATTTAATTCATTGACGTACTCCTGATAATCTGCATTTCAAAAACATAATCAGTGAATTTGAATGATTAAATATTGACATTTAAAGCAAATAATTTATGATTATTGTATAAATTTTATTATACCACAGATACACACTTTTTTTTAATAATCGTAACGTCTCCTTGCGTTCGTGATCAGGTAAAGGCACGTGACCCTCCGGACAATCAGAATGCAGTGCTTCCGCTTTAGCCTTTTGTTCCTTTTCTTGTGCTTCCTTTCTATCTCGAAGATATCTATTTAAAAAAATTATTAGAAAAAAGAAAAATGAGTTAATTTTATTTTCTGATTTAATATTTACATCATAATTAAATTAATATGTAATTTTCCATTATTATAGTACATTGTACTATATATTTCCTATTTTATTTTTCTTATAATCGCATTTATGTATATAAGAAAATCTGAAGAGAGATTTTTTTTAGTTTCATAGTATATCTAAATAAAATATTTTAAGAAAATGTATACTGCAATGTAAAAAAATTAATTGAAAAATAGAAAAGATAATACAAAGAGAGAAATTAGGCTGCATTTTATTTAGATACTGTCATTATATCTTTATTGCTCTTTATATGCGAAAGAAAGATAAAATGAAATTTACAGTGTGTGGTCTAAACTGAACACAAGTTTAACGTAACGTCAAGAAAATTAGAGAAGAAAAATAGTCACAATATCGTACTTAGGCAAAACTCCCTTGCGATAATTTGGAGGTGGTACACCATTGTTAAGTTGTGTCATCAGTTTATTGGCAATAGAGGTACGTTCTTTATTTAATTTGATAAAATCGACTTCCTCTTTAGATGTCGGCGACATGGAATTTCGTAAGTTAACTTTCTGTAAGTCTTCCGAATCATGCATATCACCTCTGTCTGCAGGCGAATCAGATTGTTTCCTTGAATTTTTCTCTTCTTGTTTATTTAAATCACCATTGTTCGCTATTTCATGCTTTGTAACCTTCTTTGATGGATATCTGTTGAAAAAAAATCAGAAAAATGGTCTCTAGATAAAATCTCGCTTGCTAACGTTACTAATTCTTTTATTAACATTAATAAATTAGTAATTAAATTAGAAAATTAAACAATTAAAAATTATTTAAAGTAAAAAGTAAATGTCAATTACAGATAAAATGTATTGAAAATTGTAATATATATGTTTCTAAGATCTTTCTTTAATTAACTCTATTCTAATCTAATATTATATATTGTCAATTTGTCAATTTTAGAATTGAACTTTATATAATAGGTTTCAAATGTGTGCACTTACAGAATAACACCTTCAGAGTATATACTTTCCAATTGATCTGTATCTAAAGTCTGAATCCCCTGATTTCTGTACTTAACAGTGTTTTGTGCATCCAAACGTTCTAAATCATTTGCAGCATTATCAGATTTATGCAATACATTTGGTTCAGACAAAACCTTTGGTTGCAATCTCTGCTGACTGTTATGTTTATCAGTTCTCTTTTGTTTGCTTGACATGTTATTATTCATTCCTGGTCTAATAACCTTTTTGGTAGAAACAGCATGCTTTTTATTATACTCAAATACATTGGTCCTATTCTGAGCTTGTTCATCAATTTCTACTTTGTCATTTGATGACACTCGCTCAACATTAAAATAACTTTCATGTTTCTTCTTGTCTTGGAAGGTAGTGATCACCTTCGCAGATACATTCTGGTACTTGTCTGTACTCTTGTGATGCTTGCATATTTGTAACTTTTCTAGTTCTTCCTGCTCTTTATTTGCTTGGAAGCATTGTTCCATTCGCCGGAGATTTTTCACATTTTCTTGAATAAAATTCTTCCTTCTGACTGGTTCTAAGTATAGCAACAAACAAAAATATTCAACATTATTAATTATTTCTCGTGCACTCACATTTATTCAACTATTTTTTTCTATTTAAAGTATTTTATTCATATGTTATGAGATAAAATCTATTCTGTCGAACTTTTAAACAATTGTTGGATTAAAGATACGTAATATTACTTACTAGGGTCTGGAAAAATGCCCTTCAACGTTGTCACTTTCATTTTCTTGAAACAAGAACGGTATATTGTCACTCTGCTACATTTATAATTTACATTTCGGAAAAAGGCACCGGTTTCGAAACATACGATTGATGTCTCTTTACCGCATAATTTTCGTTTTACTCACGTCGCTTTCCGGCCGTTACCACATAAACAATTTTGTTTACGTATCGGATGATAGCTGCGTATAACTCCTAATCTGTCAAAGTACAGTATCGCCAACATCGAGTGTAAAACAATTCATTGTAGGTCGGTCAGGAAATATTTTTATCGACGGACGGTTATGGACAGATGTCTACTTTTCAGCTAATTTTTTACTTTGTAAATTTTCTTTTTTTCTTTTTACTTAAACCTAAACTATCAGTACTACTTTTTTATGAGATTTTGTATAATAAAAAATGCAATTATTGTAATTAGTATAACAATACGATGATAACAATATACATAATATATAATAATAACAGTAATACCGATAACTGATACAATTTGACATGAATTTTTTTAATAATGAGAATATCTATAGGAAAGTTATTCTAATAATAAATGATACATAAAATTTTAAATAAACTATAAAGCTAACTTTTTTTACTTCATTTTAAGAAAATAAAACTATTTAAAAGTATTATGATTTTAATATATTTAGATATACCTTTGTCACGCGCATATTAAATAAAATTTAATAAGAAATTTAATCTGCGATTTTCTCAAAGTATAGGTTATTTTTAAAAATAATTAAAAAATGAACAAGCTTTTGATATTTTTCGCACTTTTGAAACTTAGTATTTATAAATATAAATATTGAAAAAAAGATTGCATGTACAATACTAAGGTATTTATTAAGGTATCTTTTTATTCGGATGACAAATGTTATACTATTTATTAGGTATTTTTAATTTAAATTTTACGGACGAGATTGACATCATAATGATACTATAGACTGAATGAGTAGATAGATAGAATTAATGATATTATTATGTATTATTCATCTTGTATAAAACTACAAAATATATTCTATTCGTATGTATAAACAGAATATATTTTGCAGTTTTATACAAAATGAATAATATCTATAAATAATATGTATTTTATAAAGTTACTTTTGATGAAATATTGATTCTAATATCCAAAAGTCAACTGTCTTTTTCTGAGTTTACAACATTACAGACAGCGTTTTGAAAAGAAACGAAAGCGTTACATAATCTTATTAAACAGTTAAACTGCGGTAAAATCGGGCATTTATTTTTACACTTATCTACTTAATTTTAATATAATATTATATTGTATACTTTTACATCATTGTTGTGTGGAATATAGAACAGTGAAGTAAGATATCGATGCACTTGCTAGCTGTAATGTGAATTACATTTTGTTTTATTATATGTATTGTATGCATTATATTCATAATTGTTTTTTTACACATCTCACACATGATATATTTTATATATCTTATAATAAGTAATACATTTCTTACTGATGCAAAGCAATTTAGAGATGCTACAAACAATCCGCCGATATGCAGACCGAAAGCTTTATTGCCTATTTGTAATAGAAATAATATCATCTTCTGTATGTGTAATGGTGCTATATACCAACGAACATTATATCTATGAACAAATGACCAGATAATGAATGGATAACTCGAGAAATATAGGATATATTTCTTTTTACTAGCAATAATTATTACAGTACATATTAAACTGTTTCTTACGCGATGAAAAATATGTAATCATTGTGATCCGTAATTTCTTGTCCAGCATAGTTTGCTAGAAACATGTATAAAAGAGTGACAATTACAATTATGAAGTGCAATGTGATTTCTTCTTTGTCACTTATAACTGATATAGTTTGAAAAATCTAAAACAGCAACAAAATATCAATACACAATATTTGTTTTAATAACATTCATGTAAGTTACATTCTAAATTTCTGGCAGTGAAATTTCACTCCAAGATAGTGAAAAAATACATTCAGCCTTCACTTCTTGAAAAAGAGTGACAATTTTTACTTTTTTTTAGAGTAAATTTTCACTTCAAACGAGTAAAATCTTACTTTTTGTGGAGATTTTACTCCTTTAAAGTGAAAATTCACTTTAAAAGGAATGAAAATTGTAACTTTTTTTTCAAGAAGTGAAATATTCTCACTTTTTTTCGAAGGATGGTTGTATTTTTATTCTTTTGGAGTATTTACTTTTGGAAATTTTACTGCAAAAAATTTTAAATGTAGTCGACAAGATGCTAATAAGAAAATGTCGGTTACAATAATTTTTTAGTTACATGCAATCAAAGTCAGTCGAATAATTAAGTTTATATGAAAATATCATGTAAATTCGGTTTTTACAAATCAATTGATATTGAATCTGAATATAATAACATATTATTATTTATGTAGATCCAAGAATGAGCAAAAACTCACTCGATAGAGATTGAGACTTAAGTTAAACACGCCAACCGCTATTAACGAAAAGAAGAGTCCTTCAAAACAAGATATTAAAGATTTGCACAACCTTCAAATATAAGAAAATATTATTATATATATTATTGTGTGTGGGCGTGCGTAAGCATATTTATTGTTTATTATCAAATAAACAATAAATGAAAATTAATATGTTTAGAATAATATAAATAAACGAATTGGTGTCTAATAATATTTTTGGATGAGTTTATACATTTTCCAATTCTTGCAAATTGGACCAATTATTTTGTCTTGAAATCTTGTCATTATTAAATAAATACCAACTCCATTGCTTTACGATGTACGTTCACGGCGTAAATTATCTGTTTATAAATCATAATCTCTTTCTCTTTTTTTTGTAAATTATTAATTGTCATTGCTTGCTCAATCCGATAGCTGTATATGATATATTTATTAGAATTATAATTTTCTTAAATTTATTTGATATATCAATATAATTTTATTTCCAAACATTAGTTTTTGTACTCTTGTATTAATTTTCCTACCTAGCAATTTTAAACATTCCACAAATATATTTAAGATATCCTATGAGCATCGTTCCTGTTGCTATCCCTGCAATTGCCCCTATACAAAGAGCTACATTCATGTGTATTAAAGATAAATAGAAATATTTTTCTTGATTGATAAAATATTTCGCCATCGTCAATTTCAAGTGATGTGATCGAGACTCATTCTTGGGTTTAATAATGTCGAGAATGTATGGCCACATTGACATAAAAATAGCAATAGATAAAGTAACGATTGTGATCACTAAAGATATGAAAAAAGTAGTCATATGAATAATTGGTTTTTTGTTAGTATCGATTTGCTATACATTTCAAATTTACTGAGTTTGTGCTGCAAGATATTTTTTACAGAAAAATAGTTGTATAGTTATTTTAAGTTTTTTGTCATTAATTTTTTCCTAATTTTGATAAGTAAAATACGTTTTTAAGGACATATAACTATATATTTATGTATCTACTTTCAATTATTTTTTTTAGTGTTTCATCAAGATCAAGAAATTCAAGAAATCTTGTCTTGGTTTTGTCTTGAATCAAGACAAGATTAAAACACGAAATTGGAAATTGATTTTAAGACACAAGACAAGAAATTGTTATCAAGACCAAGATTTCTTGACAATAAGTCAAGAAATTTCTTGAATTTTGATGACAATTTTTTTTATTTGTAATACTTTATTATTTTAATATTTTATTATTTTATTTCTGATTTGAAAAGTTTTGAATAAGTAAGGTTTCAACATTTTCAATTGTATTTATAACAGGTTATATAATATAGAAATGTATATTCATACATTTTCACTAAATAACAAAATAGCATATGAGCAGAGTGTAAATCGATTATTGAAAAAGTCCCTGATCTAACCAAATTAAATTATACTCACCGATACATCCTTGTTGTATTAGATATTATCTTTTACATTTATGTAAAGGAATATATATAAAATTAATATTCCGAGATTACTTGCAAAAGTATATTATATAGAAACATTTGCGTACTTCTACTAATAGTATCAACTAAATCAGGAATGATTAAAATATATAGTAATTATAATTATTATATCTAATAATCTTAAGAATCTAATAATCTGAAATAGTTATTTGGCAATAATTTCATGATATTAAAAATGATAATTTGAGAAATATTTTTAATCTTTATTAATAGATTTGTGCATAATAGACATTATAGCCATATACATTTTTAAACCATGAATTTAAACATAGTTAACTACGAGACGACTCGACATTCAGTTTGTATCTATGTTTTCTATTATTATCTCTTACGACGTGACGTAGTCAAAGAGCCATAAGGGCTCTGCTTAAAAAAAAAAAGAAATTTTAAGAAATTCAAGATTCTTGAATTCAAGAAATATAATGTCAAGAAATGGTTAAAACAAGAAAAACGAAATTTCTTATCTTGAAAATTAAGATTAGACAAGAAATCTTGTCTTAATGAAACACTAATTTTTAAAAATGTTTTATTTTGATAAAATGAGATAAGGATATATATCTTTATATAAATTAGTATAATAATTATTAATCTTTGCTACTAATTTAATTAAACTTTTTTATGATATTTTATGAAAATCGATAGCTGTGTGCTCTTACACATAATTTTAGCTGTATAACGTTCTGCGTTGCTCCCATATCTTTTCATAACATCGATTTCATTTTTGTCTTTTAGCTCATTACAAACATGCTTAAGTTGCTCCAATAAATTTCTTACCTATTATATCAACAATATTTTATTTACAACGCTTTTCGTTGTGAAATGGAAAAATGGTTGTTCGAAAAAATTTGTGTATATAGAAAAGAAATTCATTTAAAGCGGATGTTTATTTAAACGCATGTAATAAAGATCTAACTTACGGTTTGACTATTAATCCAAAATGAATTGTATTTAATTATAAATGCAACGTAAAATAGTATGAAAGAGAATATTGTGATAACAAAATCGAATGTGCATTCTACGATCAAAAATT